GGTCTGGGTGTGCCCCTGGGCTTTGGCCCCCTTGGGGCCCCCCCCAGCCGCTGCTGCTCCTCCGTCTGTTCCCTGAGCTCATATCTGCGCTCAGGGTGGCGTCGCAGCTGGATGTAGGTCCCCAGGAAGTACACACAGGTGACCAGGGCGATGAAGGCGGCTGGCCCATAGAACGCGCCCAAGCTGGGCTCCCAGGCCATCCAGCAGCTGTGGGGAGACACAGGTCAGTGTGTGGTTGCACCTGTGTGTGTGCCCGCCATGCAATGCTCCAGAAAGGGTGCGGGGTCTGGTGGAGGCGAGGTGGGGGGGGATGTAGAGAAGGAAGCTCTGGTCTGACTAGGGCATGCTGTCTTCCTGTGCTCATCTGGACTAAGGACATTTTCTATAGTTTTGTTAATTTTTTGATAAAGTAAATTTGATAAAGTAACAGGTGAAAAAAGTAAAGCGTAAAGGCACCCAGTCAGGGTGGGCAGCTGGACGCGGGCAGCAGCTGTTCAGGACAGAACCATGCCTGTGGGGCTGTGTACGGAACTGCCCACCTGCAGCTCAGGGACTGTAGGCAATTCCAGAGTCAGTATGGATGGGCCCAGACCAAGGGCCCTGTCTGCTCTGGAGGAGGGGGGGGGCGTGTTATGGAAACTGTCTTAGGTGAGGAGAGTGGGTAGGGCATGGTAGGTGCCTGAAAGGCAGGGCTGGGTGCCCGTGGGACAGCAAGAAGAAACTGGGGAGGGAAGCATTGAGAGTGAGAAGGGTCCCACAGGGCCTCTGGGCACCAACAAGGGGGGGAGATCTTTTCCTACTCCAGGGTGAGGTTTCCATTCTCAGCTGACATCTTGGTGACCCTGAATTATTATTCTTCCCCAAACCCTTCCTATCTATAGAAATTGGACCTATAGCATCTAAGGAGAGATTAGGTGGGGAACAGTCGATTAGGGAGAAGGTCTCCACACACCTGTAGGGAGGGCAATGAGGGGGACGGGAATATGATTGGGTGACCACTCAGAGCCAGGGCCAAGACTCATTGCTCTCTCTTGTGGGATCCCATCACCCTGGGCACCTTGGGGAAAGTTACTGGGCAGCCTCCTGGACTTCTGCCCAGAATGGACCTCAGCCAGTTTCTTGTCTCACTTTGGGGCAATTTTAACCTGTTGTATGCCAGTGGTTGTGATGAATGGAGGGCGATTCCACTGGATGCTGGTGGGCACCTGCCTTCCCTGGCTGCCCCTGGTCACATCCGTCCTGCCCTTCACTCTCTTTCAGATGGGGCAGGTACTCACTATGCTGTATCCTCATCTTCGGTACCATAATTCCTGATGTTTGTGGCAGCCGTGACCCCACAGATGATGAAAGGAACCCCTCCACTGATGAGGTAAAACCTGCCAGAGAGCAGAAGGCACTTAGTTCTCTTTTGAAATGTGGCCTGAGTCCTCCGAGAAGGGCGGTGCCATCTCTCCTGCCTTCCTCAGTGCAAAGCAGTGGCCTCAGAAGTCCTGGGTCAAGCAGTTGATCAGGAACAGATGAGTGCCCACCCCAACCGTGGAACAATCTGCTCATCTCTGACCTTGGCTACAGTGCATCAGAGATGGCTCTGGCCAGGCCCTGGGACATGGTGGGTCCTGGTTCGTGCTGCAGACACCCTTGGCAATATGAAGCTTCTGGAGAGAAGTGGATCAGGCCCTGAAATGGGGCAGTTGCTCTGGGCCCAGGAGTAGAGACCACAGAGGATGCTGAATCAGGCTGGCTAGACTCCCTTCAGGGTGAAATGCTTGTCCTACCAGTGCTGGTGACTCTCAGTTGCATCACCTCTGGGAACTGCCCTCAGCCAAGACCCAGGTTACTTCCCTCCCTGTGAGCAGCTGGTGTCCAGTGGTGGCCAGACAGTGCACCCATAAGGACTAACCCATAGCCTCAGTGAGCTACTTGGAGGGGCCATCTCAGGCTTCCAGAGTATGCCTCCCAGCCCAGTGTTCAGTTGTTGGGGACAAGTTGCTCACATTTGACTCCTGTGTCCTGGAGGAATGGTCACTTGATCTGACAGAAATTGGTCCATATGCTGGGCATCGGCTAACTTTCCCTCCTGCAGGCTCTCAGCAAATGACTTCACCCAAGGGCAGTAAAGTGTCCAACCCACCAACAAGGGACCTTGAGTATCTGAGGACCAGGATCCCCACCAAGTACAAGGTCACAGAGTACGCTGTCCTGTCACTTACTGCACAACCCTGAGCTGTTGTCCCTGTGGAGCCTCCTAAAAGGGTAACTGAGGGGACAGCTCGGAGACAATCCCTTACAAGAAGGTGCCATCCTCCTGGGTGTTACAAACACCCCAAATCAATAACATGGCATCTTGTCTCCAAGTACGATAACATGTGTCCCAGATCCAAGGATGCAGCAGGGTGGACCTACCAGTAGTTGCTCTCAGTGATCGTCTTAGGGAAACTGTCTTTCCAAAATTCTATATTCAGAGAAAATGCCCTTCAAAAATGAAGGTGAAATAAAGATAGTTTTTGATAAAAATAAATTTGTGTCAGTTGACCTGCACTTCAAGAAATGCTAAACAGAGTTCAGGTTGGAGGGATGTTGTACCAGAGGGAAACTTGGATCAACACGAGGAAAAGAAGAACACAAGGAATGTGAATTAGGGTAAATATAAAATATTTTGTTTCCTTTTAGTTTTTTTTTTTTTTTTGAGAGATTTTTGCTATAGGGCGTGTGTGCTCGCCAGACAGACAGAAAGCAAAAAATCATCCCCTGGGGGGATAGCCACGCTGCAGTCCCTTCTCCTCCTTTCTCTCAGGATCTTGGACATGCACGCACATGTGCCTGGCATGAGTTTAAGCCACCATGTCTCGGTCTTAAGCCACTCGATCCATGGTCTACTACATGGGAGTCCAGCCACATAGCCATTACGCCAACTGCTGGTCCCAATTTCTTCAAAACATTTCCTTTTAAATGTTTTGGCAAATAATTAAAAAAAAGTTTAAAAATGTATTTATTTTGTTGTGATTTTCAAGCCACCTGGTCCAAGGTGTGAACTGCAGTTGACCATGTGGGAATCCAGTGCCTCAACCACTATGCCACCTGCTGGCCCCCTAGCAGAGAATTTTAACATTGTCCAGTGGAGTTTATTATATATCTGAGTATATATGGCATCTGTAGTATAAAAGGTGGTAGGAGGAGGGCCAGCAGGTGGCATGGGGGTTAAGGCACTGGATCCCACATAGTCGTCTGTGTGGTTCTAAGTCCTGAACCTGGTGGCTTGAAAATCATGCTGGGCATGTGTACGTGTGTGCCCAAAATCTTGAGAGGAGAATGGAGGAGAAGAGACTGCAATGTGACCATCCCCTTAGGGGATGCTTTCTCACTTTCCCTTTCTCTGTCTGGTGAGCACAAACACCCTTCAGTTTTTTTTTAGTAAAAAAACTAAAAAAAAAACAAAACAAAAAAAGGCGGTAAAAGGTAGAATAGCCCTATATAGTTGCAAGATTTCTATTTATAGTCAATGTGAAATAGTACAAGTTTTTACTAGACATAGACAGTGAAAAGGCTGTGGATTTTAATCCCTAAAACAACCACAAAAATTACTATGCAAACTGCTAAGAGATAAAAAGAAGTTAAAAAATTAAAATAATCCCAAAGAAGGAAGTAAATGAGGAATGGCAGAAAAACAAAATAGTAACAACAAAAAGGGGTAAAAACTGAAATGGGGACAGCAGGTGGCATGGTGGCTAAGGACGCTGGACTCCCACACGGCTGACAGTCGTTAGAGTCCTGGACCTGGTGGCTTGCTTTCTCACTTCCCCTCTCTCTCTCACTCTGTCCCTCTCTGATCAAATTAAAATAAGTAAATAAACAAAGTTAAATAAAATAATTCTTTTTCTAAAAAAAGGGGGGTAAAAACTGAAACAGTAAAACAAAGATTAAATCCGAACAAATAAAAATGCCATGAAGTTTAATGAACCAGATAGTCCAATTCATAGGCAGAGATCGTCAGAATAGATAAAAAAGCAAGACGCAGTTACAGGCTGTCTAGAACAGAAGCCCTAACTATACAGACCTAGATAAGGTGAAAGTAAAGGAATGAAAAAGGCTGCACGAAATGTGAGCCCAAAAGGCCAGGGCCTTCCATCAACCCCAAGGCAGACTTGGAGACAGAGAGACAAGGAAGGACGTTTCATAATGGCGGCAGTGCTTGTTCCTCAGGTGGACAGTGCTGCTATAAATGCATGTGCCTAAGGAAGGATTCAAAATAGAAAATTCCAGCTGGTGACTGAAACACCTTTCTGTTAGCAATTGATAGAATAACACACACACACACACACACACTCACTCAGTAAAGAAATACAGGACAAGGGGCTGTCCTAATAGTCAGGTGGTTAAGGGAATGAGATCACACACAGCTGACTGTCGTTCATAGCTTGCCCTCAGTGGCTTGAAAAACATACCACTGTAGGTGCATGCATGCCCCAAATCCTGACTGGATGGAGAAATGGAGAAGGGATTGTGGCATGACTATGCCTCATTAGGGGGTACATTTTTTCTTTTAAAGAATTATTTAATTTAATTTTATTTATTTACTTATTTTAATTTGACCAGAGAGTGAGAGAGAAAGGAAAGTGAGAAAGTAAGTGCCAGGTCCAGGACTTGAACCACGGTTGGCCATTTGGGAGTCTAGCACCCTTACCACCACGCCACCTGCCAGCCCCAGGGGGCAATTTCTCCCTCTCTCACTCTCTGTCTCTCTGTCTGGAGAGTGCATGAGCCCTCTGGCAAGTAAAACAAACAAACAAACAAACAAAATAAGAACTAGAGGATATGAACAATAATAAACACTTTTTGACCTGATGGCTCTTTTTTTTTTTTTTTTTGAGGGTTTTTTTTTAGGGGGTGCGTGTGCTCGGCAGAAAGACAGATAGAAAGTGAGAAATCACCCCCCAGGGGGGATGGCCACGCCATAATTCCTTCTCTTCCATTCTCCTCTCCTTCTCCATTCTCCTCTCGGGATCTTGGGCACGCATGCACACGTGCTCGGCGTGAGTTTAAGCCACCGGGTCTGGGACTTGAACCGCGGTCAGCTACATGGGAGTTCGGCGACCTAGCCATCACGCTAACTACTGGTCCCGCCCCCTGATTGCTCTTTATAGGACATGATACCCAAGAGTGGCAGCCACATGTCTTTCCAGGTGCACAAGGTCTACTCACCACGATACATAATATGTTGCCCCATAAAAAGTCTCAGTACATTTAAAAGGATGGAAATCATACAGAATATATTTCTGACCACAGTTAAATCAAATGAAAAATTAATAACAATTAGATAGCTAGGAAAAACATAGTATTTAAATTTAACAACACATTTGTAAATAATTTGTGGATCAAGAAAAAAAAAACAAGAAAATTTTGGAATTATTTTAAGCAGAATAATAAAAATACACAGCATAGCAAAAATTAAAAAAAAAAGCAGGTGGCATGGTGGTTAAGATGCTGACCTCCCACATGATCAACCTTGGTTTGAGCTCTGGACCTTGGACCCTGTGGCTTGAAACTCATGCTGTACGTGTGTGCATGTGTGCCCCAAATCCTGAGAGAATAGAGGAGCAGGGATTGCAGCTTGGCCATTACCCCTGGGTGTGTGTGTGTGTGTGTGTGTGTGTGTGTGTGTGTGATTTCTCACTTTGTCTCTCTCTGTCTCTCCAGCAAGTACATGTACTCTATAGTAAAAATATTTTAACATTAAAAAAAATTACTTTGTGGTTGTGTGTGTATGAGAGAGAGAGAGGGGCAAAGATAAAGACAAGCACCCTCAACAGGGTCTCATGCCTCAGCTTTCCCAGCCGACCAGTATCTTGGGCACACGTATGCATGCCTGTCATGTATGGGTCAACCTAGGACTCCATGCAGCCTCCTGGGCTGCAGAGCATTGCACTACCACTGTGCCACCATGGCTGGACCAACGTACTGGAAATTTTGGAATATGGATAAAGTAGGGATCTGAGGGAAATTTATAGCTGTAAGTACTTCTAGTAGAAAAAAAGAAAGCCTAAAATTTAGTGACGTAAGATTCCAGCTTAACAATGTAGAAAAATAAGAGTAAAATAGACCCAAAGTAATCAGAGGAAGGCAATAATAAAGACAAGAACAGAAATAAATAAAATAAACAAAATAGTAAAAACTACCAAAGCCAAAAGCCAGTTCCCTGGGTGTGTTCGAATGGGGCAATCAACACAACTATAAATTTCTTTTCTTTCTTTTTGAGAGGTTTATGCTATAGGGCACGTACACATGCCAGAAAGACAAAGAGAGACAGAGAGACAGAAAGCAAGAAACCACCCCCACCTCCAGGTGGATAGCCATGCCGCAATCCCTTCTCCTTTATTCT